GATAATTTCACTGTTTCGAATATTTGAGCCTGTTGTTTCAGTGAAACACATGCGTTCACAGTAATGGAAAATAACCTAATGACGTGACCTCTTAAATGACGTCACGTTGCATTATTATTTGGCGCCCTTTTCATTTAGTACTAGGCTAATATGTCTTTTTAAACGTTTCTTTGCATATAATAAAACAAATTGTTTAGTTTAATGTAAGATCGAAATATATTTCACTCGTTAAATATACCTTTTGGTGCTCACTCGATGAAATATATGCCGATCTTACACTAAACTAAACAAAAACCCTCTATATATCTGTTTTAATGTAAAAAAAAACGAGTTTTGTGACGTCACTAGACGCTGGAGTTCAAAGAATATACAAACTAACAATTTTCTTATGACAAACATTAAAATTTACACAGGGACATGCTTTACTATTTTCTTAAATTGTCAATGAAATGCATGTGCTAGATGAGCACATTTAAAATGTTTATTCCGACAATGCCATTTATGAATACTCTTCTAAATTTAAATGCCGCAGTTTCTTGCATCTTTCAATTTAATTTGTATCAGAGTAAAAAGTGTTATACTACTTTTTGAAACAACAAGTTTCAGCGAGAAGAAAAAATAAAAATTACATATTCCTGTGTCTCAAAAGTAAGAAAATTTAGGCGCTTGACTTTGCCCGTTAGATATAAATGTTACTTTAAATATACCTTTTAAACAACTTCATAACAAGGTAGTCTGAAGGACAACCAAATCCTCATCCGCAGCAGACATGACTTTGTACTTCTTGACCTTTAAAATACCATGACCTTGATGTTGTGCCATGTATATTACATGCATTTAGTCTCATGATAGTATTTATTTGTGGCAAGCTATTTAAAATCTTCCATAAAGTCAAAAAAGTATGGTTAACATGTAACCTTGACCTTGGGGTAGCAACCTGGGTGTTGGGTTCTGCATATCATGTTATAATGGTCATTAATATCATTGAATGTTATGGAGCAGACTTTTAACCTTGGGGGTAGCAACCCAATAATTGCGCTCTGCACATCGTCCTATGATGGTGATCATTTGTGCCAAGTTATCTTTAAAAAATGTCAGCGGATTAAAAGTTATGGAGGGAGCTGACACAAAATGTTGACTTTTAAAGCCTTGACCTGAAAATGTGATCTTGACTCTGGTGGTAGCAATGCAATTATTGCACTCTGCATATTGTCTCACAACGGTGATCACTTGTGCCAAGTTGTTTCAAAAGTTCTTTAAAGTTTTTAAAGTTATGAAGCGAACACGAAAAGAACTTTTTTAATACCTGACCTTTCAGTGTGATCTTGACCTTGGGGGTAGCAACCAAACTGCGCTTATTTAAAATGTTTATTTTTAAAATATATTCAGCGGTTTAAAAGCTATTGAGCGGACGCAAAATGTAAACAATTTAACACTTGACATTTAAGTGTGACCTTGAACTTTGGGATAGCAACTCAATTAATTTTCTCTGCATATCATCTCATAATAGTGATCACTTGTGCAATGTTATTTTAAAAAAAAATTGTCAGCGGTTTATAACTTATGGAGCGGGCACAAAAGTGTTACGGACGGACGAACGGACGGACAGACTTACAGACGGAGGTCATTCCTATAATCCCCTCCCCGATATGCGGAAGGGAATTACAAGCACATGCAGAAAAATTGGTGTCAAAACACACATTCTAACACTATCGGAGATTTATGTTATAGAAACAAAGACGGCCGGAAACGTTTTTCTGCGAAAATGCACTTGCCCTTCTTATTTCCTCCCTCTGTATTTTTAAATCGACACATTGGCGGCGCCATTTTGTTTAATATCTGCTGAATATATAACAACTTTTGTTGCATTTTGTTTAGAAAACAATCTAGAATGATAGAAATGGTCTAAGAAAATACATTTGAACACCAATATCTTTTGATTGTCATTAATGCTTTACAGATGTTGAAAGTGTTGTTTTCGTGAGAATGTAGCGCCACACAGCGCGTGCATAAAAAGTCAAATCAAGAACGCTTTTTCAATGTGGCAAACTTGTCAAGGTTCATCTCATTTCCCTTTAAATACTCTGTATTTCGTTTGAAAAATATAAAGTGAAATAAACTACCACAGAAGAATTAATCAGCGTTTTCAAAATTCATTATTCTCAAAAATGTTTCTGCAAACAGCAGTTTTAACGACAGTTTTTAACCGACTTGGACATCCTTTAAAGAACGTTTTGAGGCGAAACAAGAAGTATCTTAAAAAATACTCGGCCGAAGTAAAACTGGCTAACTTGCATATGTTAGTTCTTAGATTTCCATGCAAAGACATATAGAAATGTAAGCATAGCTTGCATAACAATGACATAACTATTTCTTGTAGGGTTATTAATCTTGAAAAATGGAACACTTTATGTCGTATTTCAGTAAGTGAACTCATGTTCTAACAAAAATTTGATATCATTGACAACTGTGTAACTAGATATAGTAACAAGTGTTTAACGATATAAAAAAATATTAGTTCAGTATAAAAAAAATACCACAACTAAGTCTATTATGATACGGGTGTACATTAACAACCCTAAAACTGAAATAACACCCTCGGCACCGCCGATTGTGTTATTTTATAAATACACTTGTTACTATATTTAGTAACACACTTGCCTTTGATTTCAACTGATTATGATAAAAAAATATGGCAATCGAGCGAATAATATGCATACATAATATGTATAAAATAACAAAATATATACACAACATAAAAAGGAATGCATAAACTTCATATGACATCAATAAACCTTATGACATCATAACATTACTACTGCACTTAAAAGTAGATCAACAAGTTTTCATCAATAACCTTTTTTAGCATGTAAGAATGAAAAGAAATTCTTGTCTTAAAGTATATTAATTTACCGTTCATCGTTTAAATGCTTTGTAGACATAGATAAATTATAATGATCGAAATTATTCAATATTCACAGCACAAAAATCTTTCAAATATTCGTGTATTATTCTACAAAATAAACAGAAATAAGAAAAGATAAACATGGATAAAATTAATTTCCAGCTTTGATATAATGCGTGCCTACCTTTTAGGTATAACCAACACTTAATAGAATGTCTTCTTAGGACTGTTGCAACAAATTTATTTGCAATCGCCCCAATCTGTGTTATGTACCAAAATGTTCTTTTACATTTTATAGATATTTGGTCTATGTACATTATGCTTGTTCTTTGGGTTTTGCATGTACAGCCGGTATATTGTGTGACACGATCATTCACGATGGAAACGTTTAATAGCGTGATCAAGTAAAACATGTAATATATAAGCTAATCAATTTTGATATTTAGAGCCAACCTATAGTATGTGCTCCTCTGATTGGCATATGTATAACAAACTTATATTGCGCAAAATAATTATTATTATCACAACCCCGTGTCTATTTTTCCAACTCCGTAAAAATGGTATAGCACAACCGGACTGTAAATACTTTTTAACGTGACGTCATTTGCGTCAGACAAACAAAGTGTAAAGACGCGTTAAATGTTAGACGATCACTATAAGCGCATCAGTGAAAAAACATGATTCTATTTTTCACTTTAACCCTTTACCTCATATATACTCGAAACAACGCACTTCCGACCCCCCCCCCCTTTAAAGGCCTCTAATAGACAACAAAACGCCCTGTTTGGGCGCCTAACACATGTTTTCCTTTGAGAAATGTTGATAAAAACGTAAATCTTTTTCGGCGCCGCCACCGCCCCCCCCCCCCCTCATCAAAAAGGTACATTTGTGGTTGCCATAAGGGGGATTTCCCCCTTCTGTTCCGGGGGTTTAAAAGGGGGCGACAGCTTCCTTCATCGTCAAGAAAATTTTTGACATTTGACTAGCTAAAAATGGCCTCAGGTCGATCATAAAGTAACGTGTAACCATCGCTAAAAATCCATTAAGAAGTTGCAACACTTTTAAATTAGTTTTGATGGATAAAAACAATGCATAATAGGGATCTTTGGCAATTTTGAGACGTCCCCGTTGCCATGGTAACAGCATGCTGTTATAGAGGCTATGGTCCAGTTAACATTTGTGCCAAGTTTCATCAGTTCTGAAGCATTTCTTAATTTTTAATTAACCCTTTACCGCATGAGAATATTGTGAAAAATGGCCGTTTTCATTAAAAAAAAAACCACCTGTTACAAGTTCAAACTGCTATGAAAGTGTGTTGTTTCGCGTAAATATGAGGTAAAGGGATAATATGATTTTTTAACTCGTTTCATAGATTAAGTATAATTCTAAAACTCTTTAGAAATCCTCTATTATACATGTTAAACGACTGGTTAACAATCAAACACACTTACTTTTGCTTTTGATTTTATGTAAAACAAAATATCTAAAAATAAAGAAGCGAATGGCGAAAATATAATTACACACCATAGTCACAACTTTGTCGTATTTTTACGTTTTATCCCGGCGCCCCGCGGAGCAAAATTACAAAAACCAGAACATACGACAGTCATTTATTTGTCGTATTCTCGTGTCTCCACCTGGCGCCCCTCAGAGCGGTATCATGACATGGTTCAAATTAGCCATCATAAAATTAGGTATACCAGCAAATAGGTCTACGAGAAATACTAATCGACTGTCAATACCCATCAGGTGTCAAATTTAACGTCATATTAAAATATATTTTACTCGTAAAAATCATCAATAAAATGAGGCACATTATAGCTCAAGATAAAATTCAATTGTAAAGTTATTGGCTGTATGTGAAAGCAGTTTCACTAAATAATAAAAAAATGTTTTTATGTATCTAATTCTTAATTCTTAATCTTAAAATTACTAAAATGTGTATGTTTAATTGTATTTATTCGTTGAGTGATTTTTCATTTTACGTCATATGTAATCATCTTACATTCTGGTAGTTATCTGGTTCTGAATGGTGACTTTTTGTACATACAGGGAATTTGTGTAAATACACTTAAATCGTTGTATAACCCAACTAATGTAGTGTTAGTACGTGTAAATCGATAAATGTTTGTAAAATAGCAAAATATCGGGTAAAATGAATAAGTCACAAACAGAATAATTTCATTACTTTTAAATTAAATTATTGTTTCAAATTTTCTTTTAGTATGTGTTTATTTGAAGACATATTTAGTTCAAATATCCATTCAGTGCAAAATAAAAGGCTAACCACAAAGGATAAAATTATTTTCAGGTAAAACTGATTTGTCATATAAGTTAAGAGTTGCTTAGAATACATGTTTCTACACCTAGGACGTGCATAGTTTATGTCTTATAAAATATGCACATAAAACGAAAAAACAACAAAACGAATAAATACAATAAAACATACACATTTTAGTAATTTTAAGATTAAGAATTAAGAATCAGAGACATAAAAACATTTTTCATTATTTAATGAAACTGCTTATATTATTTGCTGTCCTTACTTCACTTCAGTGTTGTTATATTTTTCAGGTCCTTCGGGATCATTGATACCAGCACTATAAAGTGTTGAGAATTGAGTACCGTTCAAGCCGGTGCTAGGGGGCGTGAGGGATGTTGCACCTATTCATTATCCCTCATGTACAGACTCAATCAAACCGAGTCTGCAATTCTCTTGTAATTTTGTTGTGATTAATGCTTCCGAGGGATCACTTTGTCTTCAGATTTTTATACTTCACAACAGCAGGTGTCAAGTGCTGTGTGGCAGCTGTAAAAAGTTGCCCCGTACTTCACTTCAGTGTTGTTGTGTTGAGAATTGAGTACCGCTCAAGCCGGTGCTAGGGGGCGTGAGGGATGTTGCACTTATTCATTATCCCTCATGTACAGACTCAATCAAACCGAGTCTGCAATTCTCTTGTAATTTTGTTGTGATTAATGCTTCCCAGGGATCACTTTGTCTTCAGATTTTTATACTTCACAACAGCAGGTGTCAAGTGCTGTGTGGCAGCTGTAAAAAGTTGCCCCGTACTTCATTTCAGTGTTGTTATATTTTTCAGGTCCTTCTGGATCATTGATACCAGCACTGTTAAGTGTTGAGAATTGAGTACCGCTCAAGCCGGTGCTAGGGGGCGTGAGGGATGTTGCACTTATTCATTATCCCTCATGTACAGACTCAATCAAACCGAGTCTGCAATTCTCTTGTAATTTTGTTGTGATTAATGCTTCCGAGGGATCACTTTGTCTTCAGATTTTTATTGTGACAAAATAGAATGATAATGACAAAAAATACGTTCTACTTAAACACCGCAAAGAGTATTGTTCAATGATTTTACAAATAAAAAGACAACTAAGACAATACATCTGGTGTATCTTTGCATTTTCCTGTAGGGGAAAAAAGAGAACATGATATGTGGCTGTAATATGCAACTTTTTATGAATGATCTTTTACGACTAATATATATTTATTATCTGACTTTGAGTCTGATCTTTGAACAGTCGATGTATATATTCGCCTATTTACCTAATGATATGATCGCTGATTTGAATCATGTCACAATTGCGCTCTGCGAGGCGCCAGGTGTGTACACTTGCATTTGTACTTGAAATGATGCCTTCTTTTCAAAGCTATCTCGAGAAATCATATGTTTATTTTTTGGGGAAGGCTATCATACTGTCTTGTTGTAGTATATGATACTTGACAGAAAGAACTTATTCACACGTTAATGATGCTTTAAATAAATTTTAAAACTGTAGTATATGATACTTGACAGAAAGAACTTATTCACACGTTAATGATGCTTTAAATAAATTTTAAATACTTGAATCTGTATTGTGTACATTTACAGAATATAAGTTGAAGTTATTCGTTACCTGAACATAGGAACGATTGTTAAATATGTTTGACATCTTTTTTTTTTCAGATAAAATGAATTCAAGTTCAAGTTTGTTTCGACTTGTTTTTTTCCTTGGATTTGGTTGTACAGTTCGCTTGTCAGGTAATGTAATTATGTGTTTAAACATTAAGTTGCTTTAAGAAGCTTCTTTGTGAAACGCCGAGACTGTCTTATACGATCAATGTTTTTGCTATCTTGTGCAACGATGATATAATTTTGTCGTTTGAGCATTTTTGCGTGTGCAATTCATATCATGTTTGTCAAAGGATCATTCCTACTTTTTCAAACAGCATGTCAACTTGTCAAATTATCATGATGACAAATGCAGAAAACAGGTTACCTCGTCAAAGTATCGTAACATCATGTTAACTTGTCAAAGTATATTGATGACTTGTGCAAATGACATGTTAACTTCATTTTCCCTATCGTCACTCTGATGCTATTTATGTTTACATTTCTTAAAAGAAAAATTAGAATTATATGTTACCGATTAATTAATTGTTAAGAAATGTTTGAATTCATAATTGCTGATAAAGGCACTGTTTTTAACTGAAATATTTGAATATCAGTGTATGCAAAACGAAAAAGTTAGCAGTTTCTATTGAATTTAAACTGGTTTACGATAATGCCCGGCTTCATGAAAAACGTATACCTATACATGTATTTCTTGAAACATATTGTACTACTTCATGTACGAGGTATAATAAAAAGGTTCTTGGCCCGATATACTTCTAGCCACAACACTGACATTTAGATACCGATATCTTATTGAAGATAACTGACGAGTAACAAAGATTAAGTAACATAAAACACACTTTGATCAGAAGAGGGGTGTGTCATTTAGACAAAATAGAGAAAGTTGAAATCAGAGCCGTCATTAAGTACCTCTGTAAGAAAGTGATGTCCCAAAAGGAAATCCATGAATACTTCATGGATTCACTTGGAAAGGAGTCCCCTTCCTATAGCACTGTGGAAAAATGAGCTGCTGAATTAAAGAGGAGCAAGAAGACATTGAAGATGAGGAGCGGCCCTGGCGGCCAAAAGAGGCCACCAACGATGAAACTGTCGAAGCTGTGCATAATATGGTCATGAGAGACAAAAGGCAACCTGCGAAGCATTGCTAGGGAAGTGGGTATAAGCTTTAGTTCAGTTCTGACTGATGTGTATGGCATGTCAAAGGTTTACGCTAGATGGATCCCCAGACAGTTGATTGACGACCAGAAACGAATCAGGTTTGACGTTTTCAAGATATCTTTTGTCCCGCTACGCGATGATCCTGATTTTATATACCGGATCGTATCTCAGGATGAAACATGGGTCCATCACTTCAATCCAGAATCAAAAAAGAGCATACAGTTGAAGCACCCTGGCTCACCCCCTACGAAGAAATTCAAGAGTGTGCCATCAGCTGGGAAGATTATGGCTTCAATCTTTTAGGATAGTCAGGAGCTAATCATGATTGACTATCTTGAGCAATGTCGTACTATTAAGGGTACGTACTATGCAGACCAATTGAGACCCCTGCATCAAGAAATCGCGCGTAAAAGGAGTGTGGAACTGACAAGATGCGTTCTGCTCCTGCACGATTATGCGCCAGCTCACACATCCCAAGTTGCAATGGCTGTTGCAACCGACTGCGGTTTTGAAATTTTCCCCATCCCCCATATTCTCCTGACTTGCCCCCCTCTGACTTCTACCTGCTCGCGAAACTGAAAAACAAGTTTCATGGTAGACGTTTTGGAAGCAATGAAGGTGTCATGGAGGCGGTCAATGAGTTCTTTGAGGACCAAAATAGAGAGTTCTATTTTGAAGGGTTAAACAAGTAAGAGCAAAGATGGGCAAAGTGCTATGATGTAGAGGGCGATTATATTGAAAAATAAACCATTAGTTGGGTTCCCTGACTACCGGAAGTACATCGGGCCGATAACTTTTTGACCAATCCTCGTATACTAAATGAACTTTTGTGTACTTTTCTTAATATCCGAGTCACATAATTACAAGTGTTTATACGCAGAAAGAGTATATTGTGAAAGCTTTCCGATGTCGTGTATTTTGCTCTGACCTACGAGCAGCGTTTGAAAATTGATATCTCGCGAGACAGAAATGTCTTTGTTTACTTTGCACCTAGATTATACATTTTTCAAGAAAAAATTCTAAATGGTAACATATACATTTGCAACTACTAAACTTCTACGTTTTGTCCTTGGCATGGAAGGGAATTAACTTATGATTTTTTTCTTAAAACATGAAAATGCAAACAAACACATATATGCACCCTTTCACCAGCCGTCACTCATACCTATCTATCTACATATACGCATTTCAACAAAACAAAATAATTTCAGATTGCCTAACAATTAGTGCTGCTTATGGACCGAGCGATGTGGAGTTCACATGTGTAATTAACCCGTACACGGGAAGTCAACGATGGTATGTGGGTTCGGTTATAGTGGCGTTATGTGGAGCGAATAGTTGTACAGAGGAACCTACAAACCCAGCACGGTACTCTTTTACGCCAAATCGTGCATCTGGAATTTTTATCTTCAAGATTGATCCTATCAACTCCACTGATGATAACACGATAGTTGGCTGCTATAATGGAATGGACACAGATACACAAGCTCTTAAGTTTCCAGGTTTGCTTACATAGTTTTTTATTTTGATGAATTACAATATTTACAAAATAAACACCTTATTTTCTTATTCCATTGAGATAAATGATCAGCTCAAAAGTTGTGTTGTTTTTTATATATATATAATATATCAGGATGTTATCTGAGATCGTACTCAAATATGCTAAATGGAATAAAATAATACTAACAGCATTTATATGTTATGAGGATTACTTATCTAAGAATTAGAATAGAATATTCCTAACAATTATGGTTTCAAAACTATTTCAAATGCAGTTTTCCAGTTTGATTGTCAAAATATTTATTTGTTGAAAAACATTTATTTGAGACATAAGACTCCTAACAATAAATTAAAACAGAAACATGTTTGCATTGTTTTTCAAAGTAGTAAAATATATTAATAATAAGTAAGAAATGCGAAAACAAATTGTTATGTTTTACTTGACAAGACAAGATCTTTCTATGCATGCATATATGTTTAAAATGGCTGATTGTCTTAAATTCGGCGAAATTATCCAGCTTTTCTTTCTTACATTTAAATTTTATTTGCTTACTAATTATGTTTCTTTAACGGTATAAAAAGACTTTTACTTGGCTAAATTTTTATTTCAAAAGTCATTCCTTTATCACTCACAACTTTTTTTTAGTTGCAACATATCAATTTTGTTCACCATAAATGTAAAGGATTGAACACAACAACCACTTAAATATGAGAGAACCAACAAAGTCATGTAGTATGATGAAAATCAAAATGTTAAAATCGTATAAAAGACACTGAAACTTCTTGATTTCTCAGATACATGTTAACAAATTCACATTTTTCACGTTATTAACCATATGACAGCACAAAATTATAATTGTAGATCTTTGTAATTTTACTTTAGTTTGAATCCCAACAGTAATGTGTTGTGCAAGATAATTGGTAAATTACCTATTCCTATCCCGGATGCACTATTGTCTATATTTACATAAATGACTTGTTTCAAAAATTATCGGTGACAATTATTCATATTAATAGGAAAGGTTTTTCACGAATACAAGAATAAGTATCAAAAGAAAGGATGCAATAATAATAATATATGATGAATATAATGATAAAGTCGAGTTTTGTTAAACAATTTTTCAAAGGCTTTGCCATTTTGAGACTATACAATCAAGGATCTTTGTAGAAACGAAACCTACCAGTGATAACATGTGTCGCCTCATGTAGTCTTTAGGGGTGATTGGACTTTGTTCCTTATATCCCTGCGACACAAAAAATTTAACAGGACAAAACGCCCTTTTAAAGGGTAATAACTCAGCCAAAAATTATGATACCCGTCTGAAAAAAAACACACTTAAATATGTAAGTACTTGAGGTACACATTGATGTTATAACATTTTATATTCAAATTGCCTTAGTGGTATGTGAGAAGTAGTCCGGACATTTTTGATAATGTGGACAACTACATTTGGTACTGATCATTCCTAAAATATGTATAAAATTGCACCAGTAGATTACGACAGGTTTTCTGACGGACGGACTTACAGTTAACAGAGATGTCGTGGCTAATTAATATAATGTTGCAGCTATTGTGTAACTTAATTTTCACAGAACTGTTTTGTGCTAAAAAAAACTATAATATCTAATGTTTACCTAGCAATTTAGTGCGACAAAGTTCTTAATCAATGTGTATGTATATGTTAAAGGGAGAATATTTTTTGGCATTACTGCCTATTTATTAAACAGATAATTTGTTAAGCAATATATTGAGTATTCTGTTTCAATAAGATGATTTATTTTATTTCGGATTAGACCGATTGTTTTAACACGACATAAATTCAAAAAAAAATTTCATTTATTATGCTCTCACCATATAATGGTTGGTGCATATAGTGTTACCCTGTTCCGTCCTTCCGTCATTCCGTCATCATCAGTTTCCGTTCATTGTCTTAGTAACCGTTGCACACATTTAACTCATATTTGACATATGGATAAATTATGAGAAAATACAGGACAAGTTCGAATTTGGTCATGGTCCGATGATTTTTCACAGAGTTATGTCCCTTGATGAAATTTTCAGTTTCCGTTCATTATCTCCCCAACGGTATTACACATTCAACTCAAATTTGACAAATTGATACGTCACAGAAATGTGCAGATCAAGTTCGAATTTGGTCATGGTTTGATTATTTTTGGATTCGTCAAAGGAATGTGCATGTCAAATTTGACTTTTATCATGACTTGATGATTTTCGGCAGAGTATGCCCCTTTCACCTTGAAAATAATATGAAATTTTCAGCTTCCGCACATTATCTCCCCAACGGTATTACACATTCAACTCAAATTTGATATATGGATACATCAACGGAATGTTCAGGTCATGTTTGAATTTATTTATGGTTCGATGATTTTGGCAGAGTTATGCTCCTTTAGTTTTTTTAAAAAAAAAGGAAATTTTCAGTTTCCGTTCATTATCTCCCCAAAAACTGTACATATTCAACTCAAATTTTGTAGCATATGGATATGTCATAAGAATACACTGGTCAAATTCTAATTTGGTCTTTGTTTTATGATAGCTGACAGAGGTATTCAGAAATTTTTAGTTTCCGTCCATTATCTCCCCAATGCTTGTACACATTCAACTCAAATTTGACATATACATACATCTTAGGAAAAAGCAGTTCAAGTTCGAATTTGGTCGTGGTTCAATGATTTTGGACAAAGTTATCTCTCTTGAATGTTGGAAAAAAATTTGAATTTTTATACCCCCACCACAAAATGGGGGGGGGGGGGCTATAATGGATTCGCTTTGTCTCGTCGGTCTGTCCGTCCGTCTCCATTTTCGTGTCTGCTCTATAGATCCTATACCAATCGAAGGATTTTCTTCAAACTTGGCTCAAATGTTCACCTCAACAAGGGGATGTGCAGAACTCATGTTGCTTATGTGTCAGCTCAAGGTCAAGGTCACCATTGAAGGTCAAATATCAAACACAATAAAAAATTACACAGTATGTCGTGTCCGCTCTGTAAATTTTACACTAATTGAAAGATTTTCTTCAAACTTGGCTCAAATGTTCACCTCAACAAGAGGATGTGCAGAACCCATGTTGTCCATGTGTCAGCTCAAGGTCAAGGTCACAATGGAAGGTCAAATATCAAACCATCAAATATTAGACAGTATGTCGTGTCCGCTCTTTAAGTCCTACACTAATTGAAGGATTTTCTTTATACTTGGCTCAAGTGTTCACCTTAACAAGGGGATGTGCAGAACCCATGTTGCCTATGTGTCAGCACAAGGTCAAGGTCCCAATTGAAAGTCAAATATCAAACAATCAAATATTACACAATATGTTTTGTCCGCTCTGTAAGTCCTACACTAATTGAAAGATTTTCTTGAATCTTGGCTCAAATGTTCACCTCAACAAGGTAATGTGCAGAACCCATGTCACCTTTTTACCGGCTTAAGGTCAAGGTTACACTTGAAGGACAAAAATTGACTTATAAAATAATCTTAAATTTTAACATGTAATTTGAATATTTCTGAAACTAGAAAAAGTATCTGCTTGAAACTTAAAATATATATGAAGTGTCACAATTAAGATATGCTGGTCAAGTTTCATAACTCTGTATTACATTTTAACAAAGTTATGCCCCTTTTTAAGTCTTCAAATTTACATACATCAAATATTAGACAATATGTTGTGATCACTCTATAAACCCTATACTAATGGAAGAATTTTCTTCAAACTTTACTCAAATGTTCACCTCAACAAGGCTATGTGCAGAGTCAATGTCACCTTTGTGCCGGCTAAAGGCCAAGGCCACACTTGAAGGTCAAAAATTGACTTAAAAAATGTTCTTAAATTTTCACATGTACTTGAATATTTCTGAAACTAGAAAAGTTATTTGCTTGAAACTTAAAAGATTTATGAGGTGTCACAAATAAAATATGCAGGTCAAGTTTCATAACTCTGTATTGCATTTTGACAAAGTTATGCCCCTTTTTAAGTCTTTAAATTTACATACAATCAATACTAGACAATATGTCGTGTCCGCTGTATAAATTCTATTCTAATGGAAGGATTTTCTTCAAACTTTACTCATTTGTTCACCCCATCTGGGCAATGTGCAGAACCCATCTTACCCTTGCGCCAGCTTAAGGTCAATGCCACACTTGAAGGTCAAAAATGTTTAGTACATTGGGAAAATGAAAGGTTATTTTAACTGTTTCAAATATGATTTGATAATAAATATTTAAACTATTACCTGTACAATTAGTCTTTTTTTTCACCAGAGATAATTTATTTATATGTATGTGTGCCCTTAACCACCTTTCCAAGTTGTCTTCTGTCAAGGACATTGGTGGGGTTCAGCGATAGTTCTAGTTAGTTTCAGAACTCATACTTTAGTAGAAATGTATGAAGTCATTATTTTGGCTACAAGTATGAAATATGCAATTAACAAAATGTTAACACTGAATATTTTCACTACCTTGAATTTTGTATAAAAATGATTTGTGTTAACATTGAATAGTTTAAGGGCTTTGAACTTAAAATGCAAAAATAGTGTGTTTAAACAAATTTGGAACTAAATATTGTAACATCTGAAATTTTGGCTGCATGCGGGGGCAACCGTAGCGTCACGACACATTTCTAGTTTTTTATTTATTTATTTATTATTTAATATTAATTAATTTATTTATTTGTTTATCAATTTATTTATCAATTTATTCATTTATTTATTTATTTATTCATTTATTATCTATTTATTTATTATCGTGTTTCAACATGATTTTTCTTACAAAATATATGTTATTTAAAAGAGAAATACTTATCTATGAGCATATTCTTCCTACAATCCATTTTGGCCTTTTCCCAAATTTCCATGAGGTGCCCTAGAATTGTATGTACTTCTTTCTATTTAGTCATTTTTGTACAAATACTGGCCTTCTTATCGATATTTTAATATAACAAACGTCGTGAATTGTTCTTCATCTTACATGGTTTCAGGCATTTTCGAAGAAATAAACCTAAAATAATTGGCCTTTAACCTTATTGCTTGATATTTACTGTGGCTTGTCTTTTATTTTTGCCAGGAAAACAAGTTTAATTTTATTTAAACTACCTGTAATTTTAACGCATTGCACTAAATACGGTGTGTATAAATCTTAAATGAAGTTTTTTACAAACTAAATGTTCTCCCCACCATACCTTGCTTTAAGATACCTAAGACATGTGCCTTAACGTTTGCAAAAATGTAAATTAAAGACACAGTTATTTTCTGGACATTACTATCAAATGCTTATCATGATTTTCTAATATCAAAGAATCGCGTTGACCTATGGGTCTGACTAACCTATTGTGCATGACACGACCTCATAAAATTTCACAGATCTAAGCAAAAGAAAATATTTGAAATCAAGTCCCGAAATTAAAAACAAAATGTTGAAAGAAAATAAAGCAATGAACCTATAGAGAAAAAAAACATTCGTGACATTGATTTTTGCCCTGGTGGTCGAAACTGTATTATTACGAAAGTGTATTATGCCGCAAATTTATTAATGCTTATTTATTTCAAAATCCATCAACAAAGAACAGAATCGTTGAATGGACACAAACATTCATTCACTTTCAAGAAATATTGTTTGAATTCAAGTGGACGAAAATCGGATGAAAATGGCAATCATGTAAACTAATGAACCATTTCGTTCCTTGTTTAAATTTGATTAACGCATGATCATGGCCCATATTTGTTTAACACAGGATCAAGACCCTTGTTTACGGAAGTTGTTTGTTCTGTTTACTGTAAGTCAGTCCCCTATTTAGTTTCAAAAGACGGAAAGACAGATAGATGTTCCAAGGTTATTACATAATCAACTTTTAATTGTCTTTAAGTTTAATTGTTGCCCCCATAAATATGTAAAAACACCACTTAAAGAGACGGTTTATGCGGATTTCAACTACGACTACGATCGAAATGAAGGGTGCTGCCTATGGGGACATATATTTCAAATAAACGCTATATATCTCCCTTTATTGGATGAGGAAGTGGTGATAAAACTTTAAACATTGTAGCTGTTTGAAAGTCTATTTGATGTATACATGTTTGTTATTGATTTACATTGAGAAGGTTATTCTTAATGTGTTTCATATTGGTTTCAGTCTACCTTGTGACCTTGCTACAGTTTGAATGTATGACTCCCTGAGTTTATTCTGGTAATTTGTATCAGCTATCACTAGTCAAAACAATCAAGCCTTGTCGGACCGTATATGTCACGGAACGTATATGTCACACGTGTGGGACATATTCAACCGAATTTATCACAGCTGTCTGTATGTGCCATTTACGTTTCTAAATGCCTGACCGTATATGTCACACATTTTACACATTAAACTAAAAATATCATCGTCGTTCTTACCTACCTTCATCAATTTTAATAATACATCAACATCATCATCATCAACAACAACAACGACAACAACATCGTTATTATTAACAACAACATAATTATCATCAATGATATATCATCATGCACACCGCCTTGTTTATCATTTTACCAGTAAGATGATTATTGTGTCCATAAACAGCGACTGGCTTTGTCGAAATATTTGCAAAATATTTTCGACATTCTTATTTATTGACTTGAAGATAAAATATCGAGGATAGGGGATTTAAATTTTTTACTTGTCCATGCTAGCCCTTGACTCATGGAATTTTGAATAAAAGATGGGTAGAGGGGGCATGTGTGTCTAATGGTATTTATAAGAATAATCGCCATGTTGAAGATAATTTTTAACTCTTTGAAATATTAAATGTCATCATTTTATATTTCTGTGTGTACCGTCCATGAACAGGCTCAATCAAACCGAGCCTGCAACATTTTCAATTATGTTGTGTTGGACTTTCTTTAGGGATTCTGTTTTTCTCTATTTTACAAACTCTCGTTAATTTTTATTTTATAAATATCCAATATAATTAGCATATATTTTCGGACCTAGCCATTCACTGACCGCCTGCGTGTTAATATGCACAAAGTCGTCATTAAAATTTATTCAAAATGATGTTTTTCGTTAAAGTTTACAAAATACATTAAAAGCTTTTTGTTAGTTTATCTTACGCGCACAAACCCTGATTTTGATATGCTCTTTACATATGACGTTGTGACTTGGATATAAGCAAAATCTTCATTTTTTAATCTTGGAAAAAAAAGGTTTTTGAACAATGTAATAAATAATTTCTTCACGTGTAATTTTACAGTGGTGAGCATAAGAGGAGATAGTATAAATGGCGTTCTGTTCACTGCACATTTATAACTTCTTTTTCCTAAAACCATCACTCCATCATGGTGTTTTTCGAAATGATTGAACGCGTTGAAGTTGTTTCGAACAAACTGTTTGACATACGTATTTCAACATGCATTTTAACGATTGCTTTTACATGGTTGCAGCAAATTTGCCATTTAAGCTCTAGCTCTATTTCCTGAGTATTGATGATACAATGATAAGGGGTAGTGGTGACCTAATGGCTAAGATGTTTGTCTCTCAACCCCAGGAGTGTGGGTTAAGGCCAACTTGAGTCATGACTATGTTTCCTGATTTGATACCAGAACTGGTTTGTTCCAGGAATTAGACTCTAAAGTGATTAATATAAATTCAAAGAACTTATTTTGCAATCGAGCTTAAATAAATTAATATGTTTAAAATAATAGCTTGTAGATTTATAAAGGGCACTGGAATTATTTGTTCAAGCAACAAAAAATATAAAAAAAAACATATTTTACTACAAGACAAAAACATATCCTTGTTTACGGGGATATTGCAGTACGATACTCACGAAATATGTGTTTCGCTTACTTGGTGAAATATTTGTTTATTATATCCAAAAAAATCGGTGAAATATTTGTTAATTACATACTTTTAAAAACTCAATTAAACATTTCTTGATAAAAGATCTACACTTTAAAAATAATCAGTGAAAAATGTGTGAGGATGAGGTGAACAAATGTAGTAAAAGACAAAAAATACGAACATTGGAACAACTGGAGTGAAGTGAGTTTGAACGCCGACCTGGTACTTCTGGGATTTGAACCCACGCCCTATCGAAACTCTGTGTCCTCACTGAATATGAATACTCTTCAGAAAGGAGATTCTGCATAAAAATGATTAAGCATCTAATACCTTAATCAGGACGGGCTAGAACGTTGAAATTTTTTTACATCCATGCCCTTACCTCGACTTAACCCGTCCTTCCAAGTCCCAGTGCGCACTTTTCAAGTCTTCATTTTTTCACCGTTCGTGCAGTACTGAAAACAACGAGCAAGTAGCGAACGTGAGATTCTAAGCATTGTACATGCACAACAAAGTATTTTGTTCTTACGAGATCTTCAGACAGTCAGAATATGTTTAACGTGATAAAAAAACATTTTTGTAGTGCATTTTGATTTGCCGATTGTTTTGGATGCACGACTTAGCGACATATGATCTAGTGCTACTGTTAACTATGGCATGTAGTTTTTTGCTGTAAATGCTACCTACTTCGGCTTGAAATGATGATAATGCTGGTGCTGCTGCATTCGCGGCTGCCGCTGCTGCTGCTGATGATGATGGAAGTGATGAAAATGGCGGTTATGTTAATGATTCTGTCATAAGATTATTTTTTAATAAACGGTAATGTGCATTTAAGGAAAAAACAAACAACACATGTGACATATTCGTTTGTATTTTCATTTTTTTTGCGCATTTTTGGTCAGTGACAAATATGTTTGGTGAGCATTTAAAAAACAGATTCCCACCGAACATGGCACATTTTATTATCCATATTCGGCTTAAGAGTATGCCATATTTGACCGAATATGTCACACGTGTGACAAATTCGAACCGAATATGTCACACGTGTACCATATTAGGTCTGTGTCATATGCGGTCCGACAAAGCATTATAAAACGTCTACTTACTTTTACGTAAAATATATTTAACATCCAAAATAGTCCGCCATGTTGGAATCCAAGATCATTCTGAAAGTACATTTTAAGTATTTTCGAGTCATAAAGTTAAAAAATATATCTTTAGATATTTCTCATCAGAACGGAAAAGTTTTCTGAGAAAAGTTTTTTTGCACTGATTTTATTAAAAATATCAAATGTTCATTGTGTTGCACGTAGATTGGTTATTATCGCTTGGTTCACGCCGCACAAATAATGAAATAATTCGGTTTATGAAATACAGCTATTGAACAATTTTATTAGTAGAAAACATATTTCTGATACTGTGTTCTATACCGTTTCAAATTCAAATACATCAGAATTTGTTAGAATTAAGTCACATTGACACAGTGCATGACAGTTGAAAATCTTGATTTGCTGGTAGAGGTTTCCGTATGACTCATAACTGTATTGTTTACATATATACAGGTAAAACCATTGACTTCTATTTACTTATCCTAAACCCTCCTCGAGTGAAATAATTCAATGTCCCTGGTAGAATCAGAATCCATATTGATTAAGAAAGGTCGGATGTGGTCGGAACCTGTCAATTAGGCAATGGCTACTATAATTTCAAAGTTCAAACAAGTTGAAAGCTTAAAACTTTTATCTTTCCAAACAAAATGTTTTGCTGTCTTTATATAATTTAATGTGATCGAATAATCACATAATAAATTCGTTCTTAATCGATTAATATAAGGAAATCTTGCTATGAGGACACAATTACTTGATGTGAAAAGAAATTTGAAGGAAACGTTATTTCATTTCAGATCAAAACAATTCGTCCATCTCGAAAACTACTAACGCAACAGGTACGGGAACAAATCATACAACTGTTCCTTCTAGTATTGCATCAGTGACAATCCTACCAAACACTACATTTTTCACCCCTGTGTTGAAAACAGACAAGAAATCCTCTTATTTTGTACTGTTCATTGCTTTAGCTTTTGTTGTTTTAATTTTGTCTATGGTAATGCTGTTTTACCTTTTTTTCCTTACAAAATCAAGAATAAGAACAAATCGTAAAACATCATTCGGTCTTAACGAAAAAACTTATTAAGAACTGAAAAAGTGGTCAAATATGTCTAAAAAGTGACGCAAACTTTGCATTTGGATTTATTCACCATATTTGAGTGAGTTTCTTCGTGACAAAAATGGAACTTATTTAAAGCATAAAACTGGCGTGTCAACACTGAAGAAATATTCAAATAATATTATGTTTGTTTATTGCTGTTGCTCTGTAACATCGCACTTTAGGGTCAAACGCACTATGGGGAACACCCTCAAAGTGCGTTACGCACTTTGGTGCCATAGTTTGTCCCCAAAGTGCGTTACACAGGTAAATATGCATTTTTTAACATCATGAAAACGACTGCACTTTTGGGTCATAAAAATTAAATCAATAAGAACGAATTTTAGTGATATTTTATAATGATATCTTGTAGTTAAGTAATAGAAAGAGCACCGAAACACGAGGCTTTCTGATTTGTACGAGGGGGCGTAGCCCCCGAGTATTAATCAGATTGCAGAGTGTTTTGGTGTTCTTTCTCTTTTGTATCATAGTTAAACATAAAACGCGTTCTTTGTTGTCACAATATGAAACCCCAGGAAAAAAAAAACAATGAACGAGCATCTGTATATCATATTTCTGTCGCGTTTCCTTTCTCTGCCGCCTTAATAAGTTAACCCCAGCAAAAATGAACCAATCAATGGGCGTGCTCAGGAGTGCGGGTAACTAATACCCGCAATTCAGTTAACGCACTGTGCATGTATATGTATACGATTTAACTCTGACACATTTTCAACAGAAAGGTCCTTAAACTATGATACAATGTTAATTGTAAACTCAACATTAGGAAGGAATTAGGCGGCAAAATGTAATAAGTCGGTTCACAATAGCGGACGATAGATCACTCAAATGTTATATCAAAGGCTTCGAATTTATTATAATTTTGTTTTATTTCAATAATTTCTCTCATAGGATTGTGGCCTTAAAGTATGAATATTTTTGATGTGTATTGCGTGTAACAAATAATATATAAAGCATATTGTTTAAGCCTTACCGATGAACTAGCGCTGTGTATTTCTATCTGATTTAAAAACCAGTTTCTTATACCATGTATACGATAGGATATGTTTAGGACCCATTAAAATCTGGATTTACCCTATTTCTTGTTATATTATGAAAGGAAGGTAACGTTTCTTTATTAATTAATTTTAGTTCTTTCAATGTTGAATGCTGTAGACTGAATTAAAATTCAGGTTTTGTGAATCTGCCACAACTTGGGAAAATGAAACATTTTTAAGATGTAATCCAAGAGATATGCCATATTGAAAAATATGATACTCAATAAGATCATAAGTGTATATTTCTAAAGATGACATGCACGTCCGATTATGGCAGGAATTATTTTCAAACACCTATATAGTAATTTTCGAAAATTACGAAAGTCATCTCGTGTCATTCAAATGGCAGCGGTTTTTGTGGGTCTTAAAACAATACATTTTACTCCTGGCAGTTAATTTTTTTTTATTCCCAGGACGGCGTCCAAAATGGCTACAAATTAAAAATAAGTCGTTGCGGACATATAAAAACACATATAAGAAAAGTATAGATTTACTTACACAAACGTTACTTTAATAAAATAACATGATTGGAACCTGACAAACGTAAAGAATATTAGGATAAGGAAATTCAAACCAAAATTTATTGTCATTCACTAAGTGATAGTGATCACGGTCAATATAATGTAGAAGATACAAATTGTTTCACAAACTTTTAAAGAATCTAGTTTGAGAATTTAGTCTCGACATTTTATGCTGGGAAATGTCTCTTTTAAAATGTAGTGGCTGAAAATTGCTATAATTCGCCATTACTTTTTTTATTAGACCGTTGTTGAGGAACAAAACGTCTCGGTCTAAGATTTTCCTTCAACTTTTTGTAAATTTTCAACAATGCTTGCAAAAAAAATGTCGAGAATTTCTTTCTGTTCCTCGACGTTTTATAGTCGAAGCATAAAATGTAGAGCCAAACCATGCACGCTACTGGTCACTGGAGTTAAAATGTTCCTTGCTGCTTCCAACAACTGTTTTAAAAAAAGAATGTGTGTACATTTACCGCGACATTTTGTAAATGTTGACAAAAAACCCGACGAGTGCGACATTTTATGATGCTTGCTTTATATGGCCTAATAAACCGAACACCATATATATAATATTTGTTAAATTTTATTTTTTGATATTTCAAGTGGTTAAATTAATAAAACATTTACCACTTAGAAAATAAACACATCTTTTTAAATTACTGCTACATCAGATTTTAAATGACGTAAAATTGCTCAGTGATGTATATGGGTATCGACCGTCATCTTGAACTCCACTTCAAATATTTAAATGTCGCAAATCGAAAAAAAAAATGTCAGTACTCAGATGACACCTTCAGAAATCTGGAACCCAAAGTGCGTTAATATGTAGCATATCAACGTACTTTGGGGTCATTTTCTCGATTTTGACCCCAAAGTGCGCTGTGAAGTTACCGCACTTTGGAGTCGGACCCTAAAGTGCGTTTGACCCCAAAGTGCGGTGTTACATTGCTCTAATTGTTATTTTTGTTCCGTTTTACATTGTATACTAACCAGAGACTGCGATTTTTGTCGTTCACTTAGCTAGATTAATATTACTCAGGACAAAGTGTAATATGTGACGTTATGTCCGTGTTCTAAATCAGTATTCATGTAAACTCTTTTAAATAGAGAATTGTTTTTGGAAGATTATTTCAAATATGGGTACATTCAAGCATAAAGAATGGTATGAGCCTATAATATCAATTTAAAGTGATATAAACCTATCCAAGTGTAGGTGGTGAGTTCAAAAGATGAAGTCAATAACAGTTACTTTAATTTTTTGCCATAATTGTGTTTTCAATTCTAAAGAATAATTATAATAAAATCCATGTCACCTGTGGATTACTTTTATAAATATTGTTCGTAATGTATCAGTAGTGTTCCATTTTCAAAACGAGTGGGTCAGTTCTTGTATATTTTTATATTCTATATAGTGTTTATATTTTATCCTTAATATTTCTCCATCATTAATTAGCCATTGTGGCTTACGGAATGCCTTTAATGGTTGAGACATAATAATTGCTGTCACCGTTTTTCACGTGTGATCGTGAGAGGCGACTTAATGGGTTCGAAAAGCTGTAATATATGCATCTCATAGCTCCATCAGGTTCGATGGCTTTGACCCCTTGTGTTGCTTTCAAGTTTTATTCACCCGGGATTAAGCAGAAATCATTTTCCCTGTTTCGGTTCCATATGACTTACACTGTGTTGGTGATAAATATTACAAATTCACCTAAACTTGACAGCAAAAAAAGAACTGAGCATATTGTCACTTTTACTTAAACAAACAGTCACATGCATTCTTCATGGTTTAAAATTTAAAAAGAATAAATGTAATTTTTCTGTACATTATTGATTGAATATGAATATATGTTATCATAGTAAAAATAAAAATTGAATGTTTTACTCTGTTAATATGTTATTAGAAACAAAAATGCAAAACAAAAAAATCGAACACATTTACATATTGTTATCTTAAAGATACCTGTAAGTCCTATACAAAAGTAATATGAGGCATTATTGCTAACTGGGGTATCGTCTATGCTAAGAGCTTAGATATATGTTTGCAACTTTGTCAAGTGGACATCAGTACAAACTATTTAAGTCATTTCCCATTGTAAAAGGTCCCTTTTTAATATAAATGTCTTAAAAGACTTCTGTTTTGAAAGCACACGTCATAGAGTTAGGATATTTGCCATAAAACATGACCCTTTAGTAGTCTACAAACATCATTCACTAAAGTATATATTGAACTTTTAATTAATTGCGCCCGCTAATGTACAACTCTGATCATTATTACCCAGAATTATTAGAAATGATTGAAACAGATTGATTAGATACAGATTGATATATGCACATTTAGATTTAAATATATTCTGCTTAGATGTGTACATGTATACTAGTACAACTCTGTAATTCAACCGAAAATTGTATACAATTAATTATTATACTGATTACCGTATATGTGTTTTTTTCTTCGGTGAAAACAATAATGCACGAAGAATTAATATCTATTTCCATTCTAACACGTCATGAAAAATATAATTATTATTATAAATCTGGACTTTATGTTTGGTGGTTAAATTTGTTTTCGCCTCAGAGTTTCCAATAGAAACGTTCTTTAAAGGCCGTTCCAGTGGGTTGAAAAAAACTGCCGTTAAATCTACCGTGTGTAGAAACATTTTGAGAATAACTAATTTTGAAAACGTTGATAAAACTTTGCTCGTTTATTTTATTTCAGTCTATAATTTTCCAAGCGAAATACAAATTATTAAAAGCAAAATATATGTAAAACTTGACTCGTTTGCGACATGAAAATAGCGTACTTGATTGGATTGTTTTGCACGTGCTGTTTGGCGCTACATTGTGACGTCACGTAAACAACACTTTAAACTTCTGTACAGCGTTAACGACTGAATTAAAGATATTGGTGTTCGGATTCATTTTCTTAGTTAGACCATTTTCTTTCATTCTAGATAGTTTTCACAACAAAATTCGACAAAAAATTGTTTTATTTATCAGATTGTTCAAACAAAATGGCACCGTCAATGTGAAAATACACAGGGAGATAATAAGAACGGCGAGTGCATTGTTGTAGAATAATGCACACTTCTTTGTTTATATAGAAAAAATTCCGATAGTGTTAGAATGCTAAATAATCTTCGTATACATTAATTGTTGTCTGATTTACGATAACTTTCTATCAAGTTTGTAAAATTAAAGATACTTCCCGGGTATATTTTCACACGTCATTGCACGCTAATCAAAAGATGCATACCGTCTATTGTTACGCATTATATTTGTTTGCAAGCAAACAATATAATTGTTTGTAATTACTATATAGTTTTGCGGTGACCACGATCAACAAAATTTTAATGCGAATGTGTACATGCAAACAAAATAGGTACAGAAATGTGACGTAGATTTTGATAAGATGAGCCGTAGAGTTTAAATCACGTATTGTCCAAAGAATGTGCCGCAAAAATAAAGTCCGCAGAAATAAAAACATGCCAAAATTTGGAAAAACCGCAGAATTTGGAGCCCGCAGAAAAAAAACACTTATACGGTAATTCCACCAAGAAATATTATATAGTTTTTGATTACTCCACCAAGATTATTTTACAACTTTTACAAATTTTTCCAAGAGCTGTACATTGCTTTGATTTATTTTACCAGAAAATTATGCCATCTCCTTAAGCCAAGTTAGGAGCTTCACTTCAGTTTTCAGGGGGTTTTTTTTTGTTTTTTTTTTTACTTTTATTTACATATGAGTTTGCATATTAAAAGACACAAATGCTATACTAGCATGCGAGCAGTTCCAGTACAAAAAAAATCGTAGTTACTTAAACATTATTTTTCATTACTCTAACTCACCAAAAATGATTGTTTTACATTAATATGTGGCTCATCACACACATTATGGAAATTCCATTATGTTCTTAACAAAGCATAACCCTTAGTTATAAGAGGTACCAAACTTATCCATTATTTGATGTGAGGATAAGTAGTTTCCATACATAAGATATAACACACTATAATTACAATGTATACAATATTATTATATAAGACCTATTTTTTATTTAAAATTGTTAAATAGAGCATTTTCCCAGAGGTTAATATGTGTCATTCAGGATATAGAGCGTAAACTAAACTTTATAGTATCTATTACCTAGTACCATTGCCCAACGCCTTCACATGCAATGGCGTGCTTGTATGCATGATATTTTACTTATTAAAGTCATAAAATTATTTGATATCGTAATGTAGATTAAAATTCTGATTATTAAACCGGTTTTCATCACATTGCCCACTTATCTGTACACAGGTGGTATTAGTGGAAATCCTTTTAACGGGTCTCATTTGTAATTATTTTGCGCATGCGCGCAAGGACGGAATCCCCCAATGTTTACAAGGTCACGGTTTGACAACGCACAGCTGAAAGTGATTTAAAAAAAAAATTATACGTATTGCCAATCTGACACTTAGATTTTGTCTCGTTCATAAATATGCTTGATTTGATATCAATTTTTAAAGAATGCAAGTAAAAATCATGCGTTAAAATGAAAACTACGGGTTCTGCTTCTGTACGGGAACTGCTCGCATGCCAGTATCACTGTTAAATGTTTAAACTTAGAATATTTGTTATAATTTTTTTACATGGTCTACTTTTCCCTTTTATATACTTTGAAATATTGAAAATAATTTTGTGGCATTTTACAAATGTTTGGAAACAGAACTTATCTTGATTACCGGGATTATGACCACTTGTAACATAATATAAGGACCTGTTCTTATTTTAATATCAAGTTCTGACAATAACCGAAAAGCCTGCCGTCGATTTACTGTTTATTTCTTTTTAAGGGGATGCATAAACATTGTTTTAAATGGCGACCAATGTCGGAATGGTAAGGAAGCGTCTCATTGAATGTCCTATGAATTCCATTATCCTATGAGAAAGTTGAGACATTTTCAAAAACCGCACATTTCTTATTTAAGTAAAAATTAGGGTGATGCAAGAGAAAGATAAGAAGCAGGTATTTACTAATGTTGAAAACAAATGGCAAAACTAAACAGACTGAAGAAGAGTAAACTTGCATCAAATTAAATTTTGTCGTAATATATGTCCCTATCTTACTCTGTGATTGTGAGCCTATATTCAATGTTGTATACTTCATAGATTTTAGACAATTGATTTTAATAATGTTTGGTCCGTTTGAATATTCGTAATCGATTTGTAATGGATGTGAATTTACTACACATGATAACTAATTAGTAATGAAAGTCATTTGTATATTTGGCTTACTTTAGATCATAAGCTGGCAGTCCAAATTCCTAGGCAGATCATTCTGCGGTGAGTGACAAGTGGTTTGAAGTGAACGACCTTAAAATATTCCTTCATGTCATTGGTTTGAGTTATGTGTTCCAATCAGTCTAATTTGTGTTAGCAAAAATATCAATATTTACATTAAACCTAAAACAGTGTCTTCATCCTGATTCCTTTCTTGTAAATGTAGACTAGAATTTATTTTAGCAAATTTCTACATTTATATTGATTGAGGCAAGGAATAAACCAATATTTTACTGTTAAGGAACTGAAGAATTGTCTTTGACAAGCTCTCTTTTATTGAGAAATTTCAATACCTAGAAATTTATGTTATAGCAAATCTTTTTGTATTTGAATAGTTCTCTCATTCTAATACATAATTGGTTGTGTAGACATTCTTAAACATGCTACTTTTTGCAATATTTCCCAAAGCGCAAAGAAATGTTACCTTTTTAAATGTTTAATATATGCACTTTCTATAAAGAAAATATTTTTGGCTTGTGCATTTACACATTTGTCGCAAGTACCTAACCAAAATCTAGAATAATTGAGTCATTGAGCAAATCAATTAAT